AGAACTATTAAAGTTACAAACTCAAATCGTCGAGAATGCTGCGCAGGGTCAAATACTACAACCCGCATGTGCTCCAATCGTCGCATATAAATCTCAAATCCAATGATCAGAGAATGCTGCGCGGGTTAAATATTCAAGTTTCATCCTCCTCCTTGAAAGGACTGGAGTCGACCTAACTTGAATCATAAAATGCCTCCCAAAATTTTACAAAAATACAAGCGACTTTAAAATCACCCCGATGATGGCCGCGTTGACAGAAAATCTCAACCGGAGGGGTTTAATCTCAAATCAAACAAAAGTCTAAATTCTTGAAATAAAATCAATCACCTAAAAAACTCAAAACTAAAAATCATCCACCTCCCGCAACCGTTTGTCGGGGGTGATAAATTTGAAATTAACCTCAGCTCACAAAGAGTAAATGTTGTATCGGGTGTATCACTACGATTCATCCTCAAACAGTCTCTTGCCAACAGGGACGTAGCACGTGCCCTCTGATCAGGTGGTTTTGCCGCAAAATGACACCATTATATTACGATCACGGCCAAAGCCCGTATGTTCCCTAAAGGCGTCAAACCCTTGAGCGATGGATCATAGGGTATATCTGATAGCCATAAAGCCCTCTGTTAGCTAAGGTGGATTCAAATATATCCCCTTAGATAAACAACAACCCAGGTCTACAAGGTATTCTTGGACGAAGCAACCCATGGCTGCCGACAAGGTGCCTTCTGTTAGGTTGGGTCGACTACTTCCTCTGACTAAGTAGATCAGGGATCATGACAGCCCGGGACGACGGAACCATGGGATCTTGATCGGGCTCGTCTTCATTCCCCCCACCACCAGTTTTAAGTTTATGGTGATAAACTCTAAATTATAAACTTCAAAATTCAAATCATAAGATCAAACCCTAAAATTGTTGCTATTATACGATAGGTTATAACCTATTTGACCTCTTTTACGACTAGCCTTAATCGAAAGTTCTCTCCCATTATTGGGAGGGGTAATTAACTATAGGGGCTTGCGCCTATAGGAAACCAGAACTCAGATCAAAAAGTTCTCACAAAATGAGGGCGAAATCTCTGGGTAGTGTCTTATCTACAAACCCAATCTGCCTTCTGAAAATTCCCCCGGGATCACACACCCAAAATGAAATTTTTCGGAGCCCACAACAACTCTAAACCCAAGAAACTAGGTATTGACGTTTAGAACCCAAGAAACCAGGTATTGATGTTTATTTTAGCGTCGACCTCAATTAGCCCAGAACGAGTCAATTCATGCCCTACTGGGCTTGATCATGCTCGATCGACTTGATCGTTCGCCATTGAATGCAAATTAACACAAAATTGGACCTAAGTTTTATGACATTAAATTTAATTTGATCAAGATTGAGATCCACTCGTTTCGTGTATAGTGGGAGCAGGTGACGAGAGAAAAGGCCTATTCGGCCGGTTTACTTGGTGCGTCCCAAATAGAGCAAGAGAGTGAGAGAGGGAGAGGCGAGGGCATTGTACGTGAGGGAGTGGAACTAGAGCAAGAGCTCTTGCTGGCGTACAACTTCCCGTGTGTGTCCATCCCGAGTAGAATCGAGAGAGAGAGGCGAAGCCCTTGCATGTGCTATGTGTGCGTGCGCCCGACCCCGTTTGGCCCAAAGTCCCCATCTTGATCACACCAAAATTGATCTTCCCTCTCCACATGAATCCAAAACATTCAGAAAGGAAATAGGGAGTTCTCTTTCTTATACACATCCTCTTCATGCATGATACTTGGAGTTTTCTTAAAACTCCAAGTGTTAGATTGCATGAATCTCATATCTTAGGGGCAAATCCTAGGTTCGTGATTTGTTTGTTGAATATAAAACCAACAAGTAATCATCCTCTTTTCCTTCATGCATGTGCTTTGGATCATCCCAATGCTCCAAATATTTCATTGCATGAACTTTGTAACCTTAGGGTAAATAAAATCCTGGGATCCCTTGATTGTTTGTTGAAACAACAAATCAATAAACAATCAATCATCTCCCTCATGCATGATGCTTGTTGCTTCCTTAAGGCTCCAAGTGTTATGATGCATGGGTTCTAGCATATATTATGAGCACTTTTCAATGTTCTTGCCCTCTCATGCATGAATGATTTGGAGCACACCAACACTCATAATACTTCATTGCATGAATCCTATGACCTTAGGATCAAGATTCTAGGTTCATTTTGCCTTGTTTGTTGAGACAAAACCAAGAAGCAACCATTTCTCCTCCCTTTTATGTATGCCAATTTGAAACCTCTAAAGGTTCCAAGTAAAATCATGGCATGAGTCATTGGGTCTTAGAACCAAATTCTAAGTCACCTATCCCTTTTTTTGTTGAAACCCAAAATTAACAAATAGTTATCTTTCCCTTATGCATGATACTTGGAGTATCCTTGAAGCTCAAAGTTTTTGACTGCATGAACCCTAACATCTATTATGAGCTCTCTAGCAGAACCTCTCTTCCTCTTTGCATGATAGGTTGAAGTCCTCCAAAACTTCAACAACATCATTGCACAAGGCTCTTGAACTTGGAACCCCACTCTAAGTTCTTTCATTTTATTTGTTTGAACATGAAATCAACAAATAAACATTATGTTTAAGCTTAGGGCTCAAATCCTAGTCTTCTTCCCATATTCACTTAACCTAAATTAAATGAATGATGATCTCTCTTTAATCATTAAATGTTCAATGAATATCCTCGACTTGCAATCCATAAATTGCATGTTGGTTTCTCTTTTTATAGCTCAGAGGTTGTAGAAATCCTCTCATTCTCCTAAGCCAAAATTTGGAGAATGTATATCTTCCTTTGAACAACAAATGTTCTAGGGACATTCATGCAACCCACAAATTGTATTTCCTCTTCCCTTTCCTAAAGCCAAAATTGTGGGAAATTTCCTAACTTTGCTTAGCCTAAAAGTTATGGAAAATCCTCCACCTCCTTGCTTGTTGCTTCTCTAAACCTACGTGAAAGTTTTCAAACAAAGTTCAAGAAGTTTATGAGAGTTATGACAAAGAGGCATTGGGATTGGAATTGTTCTGCAGTTGGGAGCAATCGGTAACAAAGGCTGCTTTGGCATCTAATTGGAGAGATTTCCATGAGATATCCCTTTAATTAGAATCCTATAAGATCTCCCATGACTATTGGGAGAAACCAATGGTTGGGAAGATCGAGCCCCTGGGAGTATAGAGAGAGGATCCCTATTAGGAGAGACAGTGGGGAGTGGGATAGGAGAGAGAGAGCAGAAACAATAGCGGAGAGGTGATCTTGCAGCATTTTTTCATCCTTAAAAAAATAACAAATACTACTATTCATGGAAATTGGGTAGCAAGGTACAGCCAAATTTATTTACATTCATACCTGGATAACTCAAAAAATCCTATCACCTAAATTAAAATAAAGATAATACTAACAATTAAATAAAATAAAACAGAAAAAATCTTAAAATAAATCAAATTATTGGAATCATCTTGACAAATTCCTCTTGCGCTCCATCATCGGCATTACAAGGGTTGATTTGAGGAGAAACTATACTTTGATCCATATATGTAGGTTTGTTTCAATCACTTTTTACGACTGTTCCAACTTTTATGTGCTTTAAAAGTTAAATATTGGTTGTGGCTAGTTTTTCTTTCATTACATTCACAAATTTCTTCTTCAGGCAAATCTTTTCAAAAGCGATGCTGAGGGGTTGAAAGTTATCAGAAAATCAGCAAAAACTGCATTACTAGAATTATCCAAAGATGATTACTACAGAGTTCTTATTTTTGAGGAGGGTTTAATAAAGGTCCCTTTAATTGGTGCTGCTGCCTACAAGTCCTTTAGACCACAATCTCATTCTTGGCCCTCTTTACCTGATGGAACAGAGTTAGAAAGGACTTCACGCTCCTCAAGATATGGTGCTACTGAATTACTAGTTGGATTTAGTGTTCGTGAAAAGGACATCAGCTTGGAAGAGGCGAAGATAAATGCCATTGTTGGAAGATCTCAGCAGCTATTTCTTGCACGAATTGGTGCTATCGAGAATGATGGAAGAAGATCAGATTCTGATTCATCTTTAAACCAACAACATACGCTTTTGCCCTGGATAGATGGTGTTGCTCGGCTAGTTTTGTTTCTTGAGCTTGAAGATGTCTCAGCAATCACAAGAGCCGCGTACTCGATTGCTGATGGATCCATTAGTGAGCATCTGCGGATATCATTCAAGGAAGCTGGAGCTATCAAACGTCTGGTTCAGTTGCTTTCTCATGATGATAAGGCTGTTCAAGAGGCAGTGGTTTATGCCCTAGATAGGCTTAGCCTAAGGTTTTGTTTACTTCAACTTTTGTTCTACCATTGTCAACTCTTTCTTTTAATAGGTTTTGTTAATCGAGCTTCTTGTTTCTTTTTTATAACTCTTTCAAAGTTTTCTCATAATTAGATCTCTTAATCTCTTATTAAGTTTACTAAAGTCAACGATTTTGTTAGTTTATTCAGTACTTGATAGAATATTTCTTATGTCTTGATATTAAAGTTTTCACGGGTAGAAACATTTTCCCCATATTTTACGTCTGGAGGAATCTTACAGGTCTCTGTTGTAATATATTTCCCTGCAGCTATGAAGTGCTCCAAACTATTGAAGCAGAAGGCATTGTGCATCCTCTTGTTGACATAATCAAGCGTGGAAATGCATCTGGAAGCATATTGGAAAAGGTTCTCTTTGGTCTTTGAAAGATAACCAACTACACATTGTCTGCAGCACAAACTTATTTTAGACTTCGTTTGGGACTGCTGTATTACTACTTCTTAAAATAGCTTTTTAATATAAAAAAATTAATTTTTATACTAAAAAGTTGCTTTAAGAAGCAGAAATAAAGCCGTCCCAAACAAACCATTAGTATCTTACAATAAATGACTAAACTTTCTAACTACAGATCTTGAATATATTGCATCGAGTTATTGACCCAGGAAAATACATGGAAAGAAAGGTAAGCAATGAATGCATTTCTCACATAAGTGCACTCAGTCATCTTTTAATTCGTTGTTGCACTGAAGTGGTTTCTTCCAGCTCCATGACAAAGTAGCATCTGGGTCCGACAAAATGGCCATATCTTCGTACAATTCTCTCAATAGAGATGTAATTACGAGAGCATCAGGGACTTCTTCAATGTTTGATTTAATTTCAAGGTCAGTTCTTTTAGGAGGGTATTTTTTTTATCATTATATGGATTTATGTTTTACCTCTATAAGTAAATCGAAACTACCATGCCCATTGGGTGGATGGAGATTGGTGGCATGAGAGACTTTTTCATTCACTTCAAAAGAAAATTTATGTAAAAAAATGCTATTAGCCTATAACATCATTACAACTTAAGAGTGTAAAAATACCTGGAAAATCAAAGATCCTAGCTGATACAAACTGAATCAATCAATTTGGGAGATTCTGGCAAGTCATGGTTCATATTAGGTTCCTAAAACATATAGAACTAACATAAAGGGTTAGTTCTTTATATTGTGACTCTGGTATTGTAGAAGCGACCTGCGTGGACTCCTAAAAAAGGTTATGGAATTTGTATTTCAAAAAATTCAATGAATGGCAAAAAAACATATATGTATCTTTGATAATTTTGATATATATATATGTAAAAGCTATACATCACTTGAAATGATAATGTACGTTGTCATATGTGGTTGCCTGCAAGTTAAAGCATAAACATTTACAGTTAGGTGTAGCAAACTAATTTTGTTTAATGAGAATTAATTGGTACTTTGCCTTTAAGATTTAATTGTGAAATTTAATTATCTTTGATGAGGTTATAAATAAAGGATAAGTCATTCATATGCTCTAGAAGTATGGTAAATGTCAAGTTCACTAGTGTGGTTTGACTTACGAACCAAACTCACAACAACAACAACATCAAGCCTTTGTCCTACTCTGCGAACCAAACCAAAAATATATAAAAAATTTGGTTTGATTCTCAAAGTAACTCAATTCAGTTCAGATTGCATTAATAGTTAAGCCAATTAAAACCAATTGAGGACTTCCAAAAAAAAAATTCGGTTCCAATTTCAGATGGCACTGACCCAATAAAAAAACCAGATGGATTACATCCTTAAGGTAGAATTAGAAAAACTTGAAATATAATGGTGCTACTCATAAAGGTGAAGTAAAAATAGTAACTTATGGTAACATAGAAAATTTTTGTATACGATATTGATATGGATCAAAAAATTCCTACACCAAACTTTGTGCGAGTGCACATTGCTGAATTAATCAATTAGGGTCAAGATGAATCACAAAAGTATTCAATTAATGCAAAGAGACTTGATCGATGACTCACTTAGAGTGCCTTGAAAGACCTTTCTTGCTGAATAATGAATTCATACATATTATTTTCATAATAGAAAATAGGGAGCCTATAAATGCAAAAAAAGCCCTTTTTTAGCTCCCACGATTGTATATAGTTGACTTCGTAGTAGTACCACCTTTTCTACATTACTTTAAACACATAATTTGATGTCCTCATTTGTTGGTAGTCACAGGGTTCTCACAAACCACACCAGTTGTCAAAGGCCCCCTTGGCAATAATATAGAGGGATAAACCTTGTAGCCACCATCCAAGATGTAACAATGATTGTAGGCTGATGAGTCAAGGGAATTGCTCCTTTTCCATACAAAATTACTTTTCTCTAACAAGATGTTTTCAACAATCAGTGAACATCCTCCAGTTCTCCTCTTGCTGGCTAGAAGATCAGTGAAGAAAGTTATCATGTCTCTTATCAGGAGGAATGTTAACTTTATCACCTTGATTAAAGGGTGCGTGGTGTAACAAGTTACTTCTTCTAGTTGTTTTAAAAGCATCCAGGACAGTGACCATAGACACAAATTCCTGGCAATAAACATGGATGGTGATGCTCCGTCACTGATGATAGTCTCCCACTCATCTCTACTACCATTGCCATCCTACTATTATCTCTAAAAGATTAACTACATAAGAGCCATTTTCCAGTTTGGGGTTATGCTTAGTTGAGCATAGTTGTTTGGTTTTACACTAGAGATGTATCCTCATGATTTGCATTTGCCATAAGGATAGTAGGGATGCATCCATGGATCCTATTATACGAGAAGCATATCACCAGTGTACACCATTTGTATGCTCTTTGATTTAAATATGATACTTCTGATCATTATGCGTTCAACTTTACTAGCACTACATTACTTGAAAGCTTCCTTTGTCAATTTTTCTCCATGTGTGACATTCAAAAATCAATATTGAGCTGTTACAACATTTGATTAGAATCTCTGCAGATCACTTCTTTTATCTCCCTAAGGGATTGCCCTGAATTTTATAGTATGATCCACAAGGTAATCATTTAGTTGATTTTGTACAAGTCTTATGTTTTTAGTCTTAATGTCTAAAGCTTAGGATTAGGGAAAATGATAGCTCTAAAAGAGAATCCCTCTATCTAGAAGAGTCTCTTCAACCCTTAATTTAACTTGCTCAAGATAACCAACAAACTATAATAACCCAAAATATGAAAACCTATTTAAAAAAAAGGAATTTTTAAATTTTTGTTTGAATTGGAGCGCTTTGACGCTTACTTGTCAGCACAGCGTTGTTTGAGAGCATAATGATGCTAGAAAATGTCGTTGTGATGGTGAGTCTGAGTGCTGCGGTGCTAGGACACTAATAGCATTTTATATATATTTTAATCGATATATTACTGCCACCCTCCCTCACTCCCTTACTCTTGCTTGTCTTGCCTAGGAATAAACCGAAGAAGGGAGAGGAAGAAGAAAGGACAGAAAAATCTTTTTTTTAATCAGTTTTCTTTCACCGTTTTTTAACAAAAATTGTTTTAAGCATTTTTAGTAATTATTCTCTTATTTCTATTTTCGATAATTTCGATTTCTACGAATTTTATCTTTCCTAAATCTGCTAAAAATATATTATCTCCAGATTTTGTAAGTTTTCACTGCATAACTTTTGATATGGTATAGATTTGATCATTCTGAATTATTTGATATTATTTTATTGTATTTGCACCAGTTAAATTTGTGTAGGAATTTCTGGGTAAAATTAGCAGGTAAAATGTATACTAAAAATGGGTTGGAAAGTAACATATTGTGATTTTACATGATAATCCTGAAATGTGATATGGGATGAAATAATTAATATGTATGAAAGCAATGTACTGAAATGTTATTGATTGATATGATAGAATAATGTACTGATTTATGCTGTTTTATCGTATTATAATCACCTTTATGATAACACTTGTGAAATTTTCCTTGAGATGGGTTGTTTTTTACAATTCAAAGTAGTCTCTTTTCAAAGCTCTTTTTGGTTGATGAGGCCTTTGAGAAAAAAGAAGAAGCAATTCTAGTTAAATGTATTCTCGATGCCCATTTCATAGCTTTGATCTGATTATTTCATGGATCTCCAGGGAAAGAGGTATAGACTCTGATGTTGTAAAATATCTCATTAGAATATTAAAGACGTCATCTCCAACTTTGCAGACAAAGATTGCTTCCATCTTTGAGCATCTCTCTAGTTTTGAACCATTTGTGACGATGCTCACAATTTCTGACATTGAATCAGGGCTTCATGCCGTTTTTCAGAACTTGCTGTTGAATGGTATGCTTCTTTTCTATTTTATTCTTTTCTTTCATATGACCTAGTTATTTAAGCAAATATATACAACAGGGATCAGTTTTCGTATGTGCTTAGTTGGAGCTCACTATCTCAGTTCATGATGTTATTTCCATGTCCTAATGTTGTTCAAGCTTTAACATAGTAATTCAGACGAAGTACACTTGAAACTAATTTGCTCACTGTTTGAATTGTTGGGAGTCATCCTTCCTGCAAATGGAATTTTGCCTAGCTATATCATTTAGTGATATTAGACTTAAAACATACTTAAAGCAACATAAATGGACATGGGAAGTAGTCTCTCTTAAAATAATTTGTCTATACATATTTCTAGAACTTGAAGGCTTCCTTTTCCGTTAATAATCTATTTCTATAAAAGTGCTAATAAACTGCCTTCTTATCTTTACAATATGATGCTTTTTGCTCAGTTTTCTGGATAGTGTGAAGGCTTTGTCATTTACAGGCATTGAAATTATCTTTTTGGCAGGTTTGATTGAGATAGAATGGAATGTTATCAACAGTTTATAAGTAAAATGTAATGCTATCAACTGGTCTAGTTGAGGTGGAATGGCAAGTTTAATTGTGAGAGATAGAATGGAATGCAATCAATATGGGTTGGGGAAATATTGTAGAGCAATGACATCGTCTTTTATCTATAGGTTCTGTAACTGTCTTTTAATTAATTATTTTATCACATCAGAAATCAATTATATTAGGGTTAATCCATAAAGGTAGAATAAAATTTACATGATTGTATTTTATTAAATCATAGCTGACTTATGTCTTTAGCTCAACCTTAAAAGATACATTTTTATTCCGTTTTTGTTGGTGATAGGTTTTGGTGCCTATCGTATGGTTTAAATCTTAGAGACAGTTTAAGCGACAATTAGCTTGGCCTCTTATTTTCCAGATATACTTCGCCTTTAACTACATATAAGATACTGAAGAATTTCTTAATTTATTCTTTTTCTTATTAAAAAAAATAGTACCATATCATGAAAAATCATAAGAAAATGTCTAATAAAGAAAATAACTAACTAGCTTAATATTTCCTTAAAATTTGGGAAACAAAATCAGAAGATAAAAATTCTTCCCTAAAAATAAAATTATAGGAGAATAATTATTTATTGAAAATTAGGAAACTTAATCATAGGAGAAGATCACAATTGATATCTCCCTTAATTCCTAAAATTATTTTTCTAAAATAAATTTACTTACTTTGACATTCAAATATTCAACACTCCCTGTCACGATCCGACTCAAAAGCTTGAATTAATAAGATATAACAAAATTTAGGACGATTATTACAATTCTTTCAATAACATTAATTACTTAATAGACTAAATCCAAAATTCAACTGAAGAGTCACTAAAACAAAATTTTCAATTTAAACATATAATAAACAAGTTCTTGCATATTTTCATTCGATCATCTTCTTCTATACACGAACACTTCTATTTTAGTCATTTAATCCACATGAGGTTTATTTGACATTTCAATTTAACAATTAACATTTTTCATAATAAACTCAGTAGAAATTTACAATTTATAATGTAACAATTAAATATGCATATAAGTAATCATGTTCATTTGTCAAACTTTTCATTTAAACATATGAATATTTAATATAAATGTATATCAAAATTCTATTCATTTACATTAACTTTATTTCTTTTTTCATTTCATTTATCATAGGAGTACCGTCAAATTTTATATCAATGAAGGTACAATCATTTCCGTTTCTTTTTTCATTTAACGTGCATGAGTTCATTGCATCCTAGCTAGTACCATAAGAAGATGAACTCCTGTATTTACATGTATATTCATTTTTCTTTTTAATATTTTTATTTACATATTATAAGTTATTTTATTCATTTCATTTTTCTTTGCATATGCATATTATTTCATATAAATTGTTTCCATATTTATATATATCATATTATAACATTGATTGTTTAATATCCTTCTATATAATGCATAATAAATACTTTAGAATTTAATCAGTACAAAAGGTATAATACAGTATCAAATTATTTCATTAAAATAAATAGAAAAATATAACTGTTATAAAACAAATGTGATCTCCACTTTACTTCTGTTTCATATTCTACAATCCTTTCAAATTCCCTTTAGTTCTTAATTAACCTTCCTTGGATGTAATCTAATTATCAAAGGTACAAATATGTCAATCTATGTGGATAATTTAGAAATTCATTAACATTAAATTCAATTTAAATTTTTATTAACATTATAAGTTTATAACCCTTAGAGATAGGATACGAAATGAGCATATACGTGAAAAGGTTGGAGTAGCTCCAGTAGAAGATAAGATTAGAGAGAGTCGCCTTAGATGGTTTGGTCACATAAAAAGGCGGCCTTCCGACGACCCAGTTAAGAGAGTAGAGGTATTAGATTTGACTTGTGTTAAGAAAGGTAGGGGTAGACCTAAAAAGACTTGGTTAGAAAATATTAGGAATGACCTTTCTTTATTAGATTTAAACGAGAATTTGGCTTTTAATAGGACACAATGGAGAAAAAGGATTCATGTAGCCGACCCCACGTAGTGGGATAAAGGCTTGATGTTGTTGTTATTATAAGTTTATAACCCTTACTTAATATTTCCCTGAGAACACTTGTGCTTACAATACTCTTGTATTGGCAATTATATAGCTTGATTTTTCACTGCTCAAAATAATATTTTTTTATAATTAAATATTAATATTAGTCTCAGAGAAATTTAACATCATTAAAACGACGTTGAATGCCTCAAACATCTTTTTAAGGCAACATGGGATGCATTAGACAATAAAATAATTGAAATAATATTTATATAGTTTGCATCATTTACCTCCAATTTGTTTTTCCTTATTGTCAAAATGAAACTCACAGATCAGTTACTATTATTTCTTCTTCTCTAATGAATAATTAAACAAATTAATTTTGATAAATTTAAATATCATGAATTTCTCTCTCAAAATTTAAACAAAAAGTTACTTACTCTCCGTTCTCTTCTTCTTTCTCTCATTTCTCTCGCCAAGTACAAATCTCTTTCTCAAAAATTCCTTTTCTTCCTCTCGATCCTTGCTCCATATTTGCATTTTCTCTCAATTGGCTTAACTAGACGGAGCAAAAAAGAGATATCCCTTGTGAGAAGTCGCACATCTTCGCTTTTGTTCGTATTGGTTTCCTAAATTCACTCACCTGATCACCGGGCCAGCCCACTCGGTTGCTCGCCCGCACCTGCTTTTAGCTATAATGGATTGGTTCGGTTGAATCGATCCATTCAGTTCTCACACTCCCCCTCAAACTGGAGAATGTATATCTTATAATTCAAGCTTGCAAATTAAATATTCAAGGTTAGGTCTAGGTAGAGCTTTGGTGAGCATGTCAGTAGTTTATTTTTTTGGTAGGGATGTATTTAAATTTAGTAATCTCATTAGTCACATTCTTCGTGATGAAGTGTTTTTTAATTTCAACGTGTTTAGTCATATTATGATGCACGAGATTCTTAGTTATACTGATAGTTATCTAATTATCACACATCATTATAATAGGAGATGAACTCATTTGTCCCTGTTTAATGAGAACTCTTTTTGTCCAAATTCCTTGTGTTAGTGCTCCATACTTAGCTTCTACACTACTTCTGACTACCACTGATTGCTTCTGCACTACTTCTGACTACTTCTGACTACCACTGATTGCTTCTCACTCCAGGTAATAAGATTACCCTAAAAAAGGACAATCCCTAGAAATTGACTGTCGTTCAATGATTTTTCCTACCCAATCTGCATCTGAGTACACTTAAGTGTCACGATTATGTCTTTTTGAAGAATAAACCTTTCCCTTGTGTCATCTTCAAATATCTAAAATTCTTGTATATTGCTTCCATGTGTTCCTCTATAGGACTGTGCATGAATTGACTTACAACATATTGCAAAACTAATATTTGGCCGAGTGTGTGAAAGTTAGATCAGACGTCCAACAAGTCTTTGATATCTCCACTTTCTATAGATATACTTTTTGTCTTGGTGCCAAGTTTCTTCTAACTGTTTATAGGAGTATCAACAGGTTTGCATCCAAGCATACCGGTCTCCTTAAGAAGATATATAATATATTTCCTTTGAGAAACAATGCCCTTTCTTGATCTAGCCACTTCTATTCCAAGAAAATATTTAAGATTTTCAAGATCTTTAACTTAAAACTCTTTTGACAAGTACTTCTTCATATTCTTTAATTCCTCCACATTATTCTCAAATATAATAATATCTTCGACATAGACTATCAATATAGCAATTTTTCCAGCATGAGATTTCTTGACAAATAGAGATTGATCAACTTGACCCTTTATGTAGTCTAGCTTCAAAACAACCTTTGTGAATCTATCAAATATGGCTTGGGGAGATTGTTTAGGGTCGTACAAAGACTTGAGTTTGCAAACCTGATTTTTTTGGCATAAGTTTTCCAAATCAGGTTGGATTTTTATTTAGACTTCATGTTCAAGGTCACCATTTAGAAATATATTTTTATGTCCAATTGTTGCAAGTATTGATAGTCAATGAGAGAAGAATTTTGATAGTGTCAAGCTTTGAGACATTAAAAGTTTTTTGATAGTTTATCTCATAGGATAGTGTAAATCCTCTAGCTACCAAACGAGCCTTGAATCTCTCAACTGATCTATATGCTTTGTACTTTATAGTGAAAATCTACTCGCATCCCACCGACCTTTCTTGCTGGAAAATTAGTAATAGTCCTTGTTCCACTCTTCTCAATCTCATCTTATACTTTCTTCTTCGACTTTGAATTTTGTAATGCCTCTTGTATTGTGCTAGGAACCTGAATATCAGTAAGAGAAATAACAAATGCTCTGTAAGATGATGATAGCCCTTCATAAGTATTATAATTCTCAATTGGATGACCTGTACATCTCCTAACACCCATCCTCAATGCAATCGACATGGTAGAGTCATCAATTTTGGGAATTGACA